AGTGTGGTCCCGTAGGAATCGGAGCATTGCGAAAGGGTGATAGAAATGTGAGCATCAACTATTGATGCCATGCAAAACATGGAACAAGTCTCGTTTTTAGCAGGTTTCGCGGAGTTTATTGAATCGCACAGAAGCTTCTCCAACTACGGACTCCGGAGATCACCTCCAGAGTTGGTCGGGAGGGCTCAGGCTTGAGAGATCTATCTTCTTGTCAACACGTTCCGGACACACTGGACACACATGGAGTGTCATGAATTTGTCTCTATGCGGAATTTTGTTGGATTGTTCTCAGTTGTCGTCAAAACACATTCTCGGTTACGAGAGACTACTTCCTCATAAGCGATTGGAAAAAGGGAAAAAATTACTGAAGATTACTGATGAAAAACGATAAAATGATGCGTGCAGTACTGCGGTCCGCAATGTGTTTAAGTCATTTCCCAACCATCTGTTTTATTTACTATTTATGTTTCTTCCATAATTCTGACTAGTCGAAATGGCATGGCGTCTTTCGGCTTGAGCAACTGAATCTTCACTGATGATGCTTTCTTCTCCTGGCAGACTGCTTGTCATCACCTTGGAGAAAAAAGACATCTAAACGATTGGTTGGCTGATCCAGCTCTCAGAGTCCGTGGCGACATAGAAATGTCGAAATGTCGTACCAACAAAAGGTAAAGGAAGTAATGGCCCCACCACTCGGAAAGAAAGGCAAGCACATGCGGATCAAAATCTTGTGCCGGTTATGGGAACCAATTAATTTTGTTAATGTTATTGGCCCGATTCTCAAAAAAAGTGGTTCGAGGAATTGGGAATGGGAGTTTTCTGGAAACATGCTAGCGTTCGGCGATCTTTCGACCAACCATCAACGGCATAAATCGTTTGGTTGTAGAAGCGAAAGCGGTCAGCACTTCTGATAAGCAATCATGTGGAAGGCACGAAAAGGCGAGTCACAAGTGATCTTTATTCTTTCCGCTAAGTTTCCACTATTTGGTTGGAAACGAAGACATTCACGTGAAAGCTTGGCGGGGCAACGTATAAAAAAAGCTTGAGAGCAAGAGGTTTTCTATGCTAGTATCTTTTCAGAAGAAGCATGTCGACCTACGTTGAGTGCTTGGATTGCTCGGACTGTCATAGAAACAGACTCGCTTCAACCAGGGTACAGCATCGTTGTATGAAACATGAAGAGGGGTCGTACTTTTTTTCTTCTGGTTAGGAGGGGGTCGCATTCGCTCGGAGAGGGGGGTCGTATGTTCTTTTTAGAGACTGCTGTGGCGTCGGTCTTCGTTTCGAGAGGGGGGGGGTCGTTATTATGTTCTTTTAGAGAAAGTTGTGTGCGTCGTTCTTCCGGTCTGTTGGACATTTTTGACGATAGTGATTTTTCTGTTTTATGTGCACTATACAGGCGGGGGGGAGGCGCGCCAAAAAAAATGTCACTTTCTTCATTGACTTTCGACCACAGCCTTCTGGACGAGCGCCATCGAGAGATTCTGGCACGCGACCGCGATGTGGTGCCTGAGATCAGCGAGATAGTCGATTTCTCCGCCACCGTAGACCACCCTATTGAACTCCGCCCGAGCCGGGTAATTGAGGGGATTCAGGTCAGGTGACCTACTTGATATACCTTTCTTCTTTAGCAGTACCCAGCCCCCTTCCATTCCAAGTAGGCGAGAGTTTCTCCAACGCCCTTCGATTCCATGTGGTGGCACCCAATGCTGTAGCAGTACAAAGTTTCCAAGAAGGTACGGGCGACGACATGTGAGGAGGATATTCTTCTTGAGTTTGTCAACGTAACCGCTTATCGAGCTCACCTTCATCCCGGAGTCCACGAACGAAAATATTGGTCTTTCCTCACAGGTAACCGCCGGTCCATATACCATCAACCCGCGCCTTGGCGACTGTGTCCTGAAGAATGATGTCCTAGACCGTGGCGACGTTGTCGGAGCTGCTCGATGTTGGAGGTCTTCCAGATTGAGAGTACTGGTCTCCAGGTAGCTACCCATGGGTGACTCCACACTAGAAGTTTCGCAGCTGTTTGGAGGTGAACAATGGAATTCCATAATTCTTCCTCCAGTTCAGGCTGCGACTGGAGATGACCTATATTTTGCGTGGTACATGAAGTGATGGGCGACAACTCCTGCTTATCGAGAACATCTTTGGGTATCTTCCGCCCTGGTACTCGTATCCACATCCTCTGTCTGGGCTGCGAAAATTTTGCTGATATGCGACTCGGTCGTGGTCGAAGTGACTTTTTTTTTGCCCCCCCTCCCCTGTATATGTCCCCGTCGACAGGAGAATTATTGGGAAATGTAGGGAAGACGTTTTTTCGAGGAAAATCGAATTTCGGAAATAGTGGCAGGAAGTTGGTGGAAAGTCTTGGGAGCTGGTAGGAGGAGGGGGGGTGTGGCTGGGGTCATATTGTCTCGCTGGCTTTCCTGTTCACATGTGCTATTTACCCCCTCCCCGTCCCTTCGCCAATTCACAGCTGTTCTCGATGTGAGAGGGACAAAGGTGGCTGGAGGGGGGGGGGGATCGTACTGGACCTCGAATTAAATTTCCCAACCAATGATGTGCCCTGTTTTTGGTCGTGAAAAACTTGCGTGATTAGGCAAATTAGTAGGTGGCTAGTGTTGAGGGACTGGGCGGGGCGGGTCGTACCGAGATCCCATTTAGGTGAGGTTAGGGGGGAATCGTTACTGACACCCCTCTCTCGGCAGGCGCAGGGGGGGTCGTACTTTACACCAACCCATTTCACACATCACACTGCTATGCCCTGGCTTCAACCCCGCGTCAAGTAATAAGTCCCAGAGTATTCGCCATTGATCATTCCTTTGGGGATTGCGGATTTGGATTTTTTGGGATTCTACATCCACTCGGAATCGTAGATGGTTGCCTGAATGAGTGTGGAGCTTAATTCATCATTTGGAGGGGGGGGGCAACGATGTACAATCAGTGTTCTTTTTCTCTGACGAGACGAACCTGGTACAAAATTCACTGCGTCTAGGGGGGGGGGGGAACTAAGAAGGCTTGTTTGACCTGAATGGAGTCAGAGCTAGGTTTTACCGGAATAGGCGCTGATGTGTTAAACGCATACCACTTATCACTACACACCTCACCTCATGAATCATTTTTTTAAACCATTTTCCGTTTTTTTACCTGCGAAATGGTAAGCAGAGTTTCTAGAAGCAGCTTTATTGATGAAGTGAGTTTCTTAGCTTGGTTCTATCCATTCTCGCATCTTTCTCTTTCATCTTCTGTTCTTATACTCCTAATCCGAGCACTTCATGGCCAGTGAGCGTTCTTCGCAGTTGTTTATTTCGTCGCTACCTTCCGTAGCGGGGGTTACGATAAGCGCAAGTTTTCTCCATTTCATCGCTATCTCTAATCAGTTGGAGCTTGCTCAGCATGTTTCCCCTATAAAACATCCGGGCCACTCTGGGTTTTCATTCGATCGACTCAACAGTCCCCCGTTAAAACAACCATGTGCGCCAACGACTTCTACGAATTCCAAAAGGTGAGCCTGTGGAAGAGATGCTTCTCGCTACTTCTCTTCTTTAATGTTTAAAAAGTACGATTCACACTTTTTATAGACATCTTTAAACAGTGAATAGGAAAAAGTCCCTCCTGGGCTAAACTAGTTTGTAAGGGACAGTTCGCGACGGGGTTACAGAAGTCACTGCTGAGATGGGATGGATACGCCACCTAGTCCTATCACATGCGCAGTTGCACATATGATTTTTAGCGTATGAGGACGTTTCTTACACAACTCCACCTCCTATGTGACAGATAGCCATATTGTCGGGGTGAGGCAGGGTCATTAGGTTCAGCACATCCGCTCCTGCCACTGAATAAATTTCACCACTAAATTCAGGCCAAGTAGTCATGTTCTCTGTAGCAGTAGAAGGTTCAGTGCATAGCGGAAGAACCTTTTGACGACTTACTTTCTCTGCGGAGTAAGCCGTGCATTCAGCACTATGTTGGCATCTCTATCATTGATCACTCGCCGCTAACTCTATCAATGCTTATCAAGTACAATATTTATTTTTTGCCTACCTTTCGCCCAAAGTGACTCAGCAGCGAATTCACCTTTTCTAGCCTAACACCTCTTACACTGTCATTCTTCCAACGACGTATGCTCCACTAACACTTCCAACAATCTCACACGGCTACCCAGCTTGGCTCGATAGCGAAAGGGCCACAACAGCTTCTTCTAACACAGGTGAGTTCAAGCAAATAAATAAGTTATTCTGCCAAGTTTCTGAGCAAGTAAAATTAGCATATTTTCAGTGCCAGTCAGTATTCCAATGACGGTCCCACGGGCATTCCCAGAAAATGGATCTTTCGGATCGTTCGGCTCCTACGGAAAAGCTGGCCTTGCATGCTAATTGAATAAATTATTCGTTTTATGGCTGTTTTCTACCGGCAACAAAAAAGAAAGGGG